AGTATATACATATGCTAGGGCTTCAGTTCATTCTCTCCTATTCTTTCTCGGTCGCACTCTTCAGTTGCTTCATCTTCGTTCTTCATAGACCTTACTAGTTACTCCTAGCGTAAGTCTTTAGTCTTATATATTAGGCTTTTAATTTCTATAACAAAATTCATCTTCATATAAGGATTGCTCTGTGTTTCTTTTTTCAGGTTAGGCATTTGACAAACAACATCCAGGTTATCTTTGACTGTTTGAGGGCTTCAACACTTGTGAAAGTGCAGGTATTGTGTGAAATAAAATGTCTAAATCAACTATTATTGTTATCATATCGAAGGAGATGGCTAATGCCTTGGAACATTTTGTGGTATTGTGTGAAATAAAATGTCTAAATCAACTATTATTGTTATCATATCGAAGGAGATGGCTAATACCTTGGAACATTTTGTGGGAATTGCTGTAGTTTGATAAGTATTTATCCACTGATTTTTTGGTGAAGCCTATAAGAATTGAGTAATATTGTCTTCTTAACTGAATTTGAAGTGTTAGTACTATATGTTTGGACTTGTTAATTTTAATTAAGATGAAATTACTACTACTTTATATTATTATTAGTGTATTTGAACAACTATTGAAGAATTAGTACTGTTCCAATTGTGGCCACTGGACAGAACGCAAAAATGGATAGTATAATATTATCGTTTCCCGTTAATCGATATCTTATCAGTTTATCAAATTTGTAAACCGAATAATATTCATAACCGAACCGATGCCCACCCCTACCTCTACCCCTATCGATCCTCCCCTGTAGGAGCCTACCCCTCTAACTCTTTGTCCATGTCAGCATCCAAGGGTCCCACCAAATTAAAACTCCCAGGTCCATACACTTGACCCAACCTGATACTCAGGATCCTTTGTACTCACTTGAGACTCATAGCCATTGAATGGGGTGGTTCGGGTCCATGATGATATTCAATCAGAGCATCTTTTTGATAAATATACAACAAAATTGATTTTTTTTCCCCAGTAAAATCACGCTAACTTCCAATGAATCTTAATTACTCCTCATGAATTTTGAACTCTAGAAACTGATAACCCTTAAAAGTAGGTTTTATATTTGTACAACTGACAACATTGACATTCACTTATTTAAAGGCACTACATATACCAAACTTATACACATACTATGCACAAGGACAGCAAAACCAAACTTGTAACACACCTACTACAGTCCAAAACCAAAAGACTAGTGATTTAAACAATATCTATAGCCCTAACATTTCTTGGAACCTCTTGTGTTTCTTTCTTGGGTACGTTCACAGTCAAAACTCCATGCTCAAGGCCACAACTTATGCCTTCCACGTTGGCATTCTCCGGCAGACGGAACCTCCTCCTGAAGCTGCCGCGGCTACGCTCCACGCGGTGCCACTTGTCGGTGCCTTGCTCTTCCTCTTTTACTCTTTCACCACTTATTTCAAGTATGTTGTCATCTTCAATTTGCACCTTCAGATCTTCCCTCTTCACCCCTGCCATTTTAAAAAGGCACTTAGCTTTAGCTTTACAAATACCAGCCTTACATAATTAAGGGACATAATCCAGTTCGCACATCGTTACTTTGCTAAAAAAACTTTGTTATCTACAGTCTAATCCTTGAAAAACTTTGTTACCTCTCTCTGTTTGCTCATCTAGAAGTGGTCAATCAACTTTCCAAACTAGATTATATAACAAGTATATTCTTCTATGAAACCAGCATCGTTTCATGTTCAGTTTTAACCAATTTAAACCAAAAAATAAAATAGAAATAGAAATAGAAATAGTTCGCGACCCGTTTGAATATGAATACTATTTCAATATTTGTAGGTATCAACATTTGCAAATACTAAAGTTCCAGTATTTAAACTTCAAGAATACTAAAGTACTGATATGGAAATTTATCTCATATATAGGAGTATAAGATACTTAATTTTCACAAATCTTGAACTATTTTGAGTAAAATTCATGTCCAAAGACAAACCTAAACTAAAATTCATGTCCAAAGACAAATGAACTTCTTTCGTACGTTTTGTCAAACTTAAACTGTTAATTATTATTATTATTATTATTTTATATAAAAAAAGCTCAGATATTAATTAATTCATAGAAGTGAAGACGTAGTTAAGAAAACACGTCGTCGTCAAGAATACACCCTATGAACTCTCATACAACTAACTCAAAAAAGAGTTATCCACAGTAGAGTATGAGAAGAAATAAAATTAGTGGTATATATGTAAGATTGGATGCTTAACCAGGAAGGTCGACACGAAAAATATGAGCATTATCAGTTTCACGCCAGTCCACATTAGCATGAGCTAAGGCAGAAACATCATCTTCGCCACCACCTCGTCTCCACCCTAATCCACCAATATCAAAAGGATCCAACAATATATCTGAAGAAAATGGGCTGCTAAATCCAACATCCCAATCTCTACGACGTCCACCACCCATCCATGGTCCTATTGATGATGCCATAATTGTACGCTATCAAATTCTTCTTGCACTTTGTTCTTGCTTCTGAAATGGCTAGCTATATGTTAATTCATATGTTTGTCTGTAGACAGGTGTTTTATTTCTGTGTCTTGCTGGCACTTGTGTATATGTGCTGGTTACTTCTGTCTTAAGCCACGTTTCCACTTATTAGGACACTATAAGGTCTTAACTCTGAGTTGTGACACGTTACGTTGAAGATGAACATGAAAAGTTTTTAACCCAACTTGTTGCTTGTTGAATATGTAATTGTAAAACAAAATTAAATGAAATTGTAGCTTTCAAGATAGAATTAACAGATAACCAATTGAGTGCCAGCACTATTATTAATTTTGAAATCCAATTAAGAGCAGCTATTTAGTAGAACAAAATCTTGCAAGTACAATTAGGGCCTGATAGCATGTTTGAATTTGCCGTTTCCACGTATAAAACGATAGGCTAAAAATATAGACAACATTTAAGGAAAATTTCCAAATAAGTAGTAATAATTGATATTTTACCCACCCGACAACTAAATATTTATATTCCTAGCAGAAAATTTTAAATCCTGTGACTACAATCGCACATCCAAAGCATTTCATTTCATTAAAAATAAATTCAAAGGGTTTCAGCTTCCCATCAGCCAACTCCCAACGGAAATTATGTTTCGTTAATATCCCATTACAGTAGTTGTTAATTTAATACTCAACAAATGATTGTTATCTTTTCTCTCTTCTAAAAATGAAATTATCATTAATTATGATTTTATTTTCTCTCTTTCTTTTATGATGACGTTTTATTTGTTGGTATAACTATATTTTATTGGTAAAATATGAATACTTGTATAATAGTACATACTTGAATGAATAAGTAATATTTATAACATTTACCTATTATATATATTACATACGTATTCGTATCAGGGGCGTACGCAAGAGTTTTTGTAAGCGGTGTCGACATTTAAAGAAATGAGCCAATAATAAAACGCTATAATGAAATCCTAT